AGTATTGTGGTGGTATAAGTACACATACCTCTGTTGGAAGTTGCCATGTCTCCATACTACAGTATTGTGGTGGTATAAGTACACATACTTCTGTTGGAGGTTGGAGGTTGACATGTCTCCATACTACAGTATTGTGGTGGGTATAAGTACACATAACTCTGTTGGAGGTTGACATGTCTCCATACTACAGTATTGTGGTGGGTATAAGTACACATACTTCTGTTGGAGGTTGACATGTCTCCATACTACAGTATTGTGGTGGGTATAAGTACACATACCTCTGTTGGAGGTTGACATGTCTCCATACTACAGTATTGTGGTGGTATAAGTACACATACTTCTGTTGGAGGTTGACATGTCTCCATACTACAGTATTGTGGTGGTATAAGTGCACATACTTCTGTTGGAGGTTGACATGTCTCCATACTTCAGTATTGTGGTGGGTATAAGTACACATACCTCTGTTGGAGGTTGGAGGTTGACATGTCTCCATACTACAGTATTGTGGTGGGTATAAGTACACATACTTCTGTTGGAGGTTGGAGGTTGACATGTCTCCATACTACAGTATTGTGGTGGGTATAAGTACACATACTTCTTTTGGAGGTTGGAGGTTGACATGTCTCCATACTAGAGTATTGTGGTGGGTATAAGTACACATACCTCTGTTGGAGGTTGACACACGTCTCCATACTACAGTATTGTGGTGGGTATAAGTACACATACTTCTGTTGGAGGTTGGAGGTTGACATGTCTCCATACTACAGTATTGTGGTGGGTATAAGTACACATACCTCTGTTGGAGGTTGACATGTCTCCATACTACAGTATTGTGGTGGGTATAAGTACACATGCTTCTGTTGGAGGTTGACACACGTCTCCATACTACAGTATTGTGGTGGGTATAAGTACACATACTTCTGTTGCAGGTTGACATGTCTCCATACTACAGTATTGTGGTGGGTATAAGTACACATACCTCTGTTGGAGGTTGACACACGTCTCCATACTACAGTATTGTGGTGGTTATAAGTACACATACTTCTGTTGGAGGTTGGAGGTTGACATGTCTCCATACTACAGTATTGTGGTGGTATAAGTACACATACCTCTGTTGGAGGTTGACATGTCTCCATACTACAGTATTGTGGTGGGTTTAAGTACACATACTTCTGTTGGAGGTTGGAGGTTGACATGTCTCCATACTACAGTATTGTGGTGGGTATAAGTACACATACTTCTGTTGGAGGTTGACACGTCTCCATACTACAGTATTGTGGTGGGTATAAGTACACATACCTCTGTTGGAGGTTGACATGTCTCCATACTATATAATTGTGGTGGGTTTAAGTACTCATACGTCATTTGAATCTCCAGTTTTGCAGTGGATATATCTCCATACTAGTTTTGCAGTGGATATAAGTATCATACTTCCGTTGGAGGTTGACATGTCTCCATACTACAGTATTGTGGTGGTATAAGTACACATACCTCTGTTGTATTGTGGTGGTAGGTTGACATGTCTCCATACTACAGTATTGTGGTGGGTTTAAGTACACATACTTCTGTTGGTTGGAGGTTGACATGTCTCCATACTACAGTATTGTGGTGGGTACACATACTTCTGTTGTGGTGGGTTTAGGTTTTGAAAGTCGTTATATCTCCATACTAGTTTTGCAGTGGATATAAGTATCATACTTCCGTTGGAGGTTGACATGTCTCCATACTACAGTATTGTGGTGGTATAAGTACACATACCTCTGTTGGAGGTTGACATGTCTCCATACTACAGTATTGTGGTGGGTTTAAGTACACATACTTCTGTTGGAGGTTGGAGGTTGACATGTCTCCATACTACAGTATTGTGGTGGGTATAAGTACACATACCTCTGTTGGAGGTTGACATGTCTCCATACTATATAATTGTGGTGGGTTTAAGTACTCATACGTCATTTGAAAGTCGTTATATCTCCATACTAGTTTTGCAGTGGATATAAGTATCATACTTCCGTTGGAGGTTGACATGTCTCCATACTACAGTTTTGTGGTGAGTTTAAGTACTCATACGTCATTTGGAGGTCGGCATATCTCCATACTAGATTTGCAATGAGTATAAGTACATCACAATTTGTCTCTATACTTTTAATAGGTGACTGGTATATAATTCGTAGATCACGGGTTGACTTCATGCATCTATTTGAAAGTGAGTAGGTGTCTATACTATATCTATTTGATTGGTATAAGTACTTACTTGTGTAAATCATGGTTTGTCGCCATACCTGGTATACATATTATCTGCATACAATATGATATACTTGGGTTGGGTGGCTTATATTCAAAAGTTTTGGCCTTAAACTTGAGTTTGATGATGGGTCAAGTACCACTGAAAGCACACTTAACTGTATCACCTAATGCTAATTATTCATTGGGAACAATTTCTTTTTTTGCTTTCTCATTCTACATCAAACGTTCGTCCATGTCAAGTAGTTGGGCTGCGAGCAATTACAGAGGGATTTCACGTGTATGTGATAAGTGTTATTTGACATAGTATTGGCAATGTAGAGTGATGGCAAGTATTTATTCAAATATTTAAATAGTACCATGCATTATATTTCTCTATTTCTCAAAAGCGTGTAAAATTGTTGTTGTTACCAATTTGCGATTTAACAACAATTTCGATCACCCATGTCTAGCGAGTGTAACCTATTAACGCTACTTATGTAGTAGATTGCAGCACAAGAGTAAATTTACTAAGCAATTAAGATAACACATGCTAAGATATTTGAATGGAACAAGATTGTTCGGAGAATTAGTCTCTCACCAACGCATCGTCTCACCAAGGTAAACCCATACACGAAGAATGAAGATACAGTGACTAGTAGTGGCGGAGATAGAGCTCAAAATTTTATACCATAGTCACCTACCAAAGTGAACCCATATCCCAACTATGAAATATGAATAGGAAGGAAGGGCCTGGACTAGATTTTTACTTAATGTAGGTCATTAGTCAAAATGTAGGTGAAAGTGACCAACTTTTGATATGCGATACACCATCTCACCAAGGTTATTCCATAAAGTTCCCATGATTTCACCATGTCACAAGTAAAATAGAACCCGTGATTAGTAATGTAGGGGATGAGGCCCCGAGAAACTTTTTCGTTGATGTAGGTCAAAAGTCAAAATGTAGGTCAGAGTCACCTACTTTTAATACGTGACACACTGTCCCACCAGAGTGAACCAAAATCCCAGGTAAAACGTTTTCGTGATTAGCAGTGTGGAAGATAGAGCCCGGGCAAGCATTTTCTTTGATGTAGGTCAAAGGTCAAAACGTAGGTCAGAGTCATTTACTTTTAAAACTCCTTGATTTGTAATGTAGACGATAGGTCATGGACAATCTTTTTCCTCGATGTCGGTCAAAGGTCAAAATGTAGGTTAGAGTGACCAACATGCACTTTTAATACATGACACACGGTCTCACCAAGGTGAACCCATATCCCAAGAATGAAGTTTCTCGTGATTAACCATACAGAAGACAGGGTCGTACGGATGGAAAGACAGACACAGCACAAAACTATATAGTCTTCTCTAGTTCCCAGTGGGGGACTAATAACGAGGTAAATACATTTATCACAGTCAGAAGTTACATGTGTGTAAAACAGATACAGATAAAATCAAACACTGGTCTATATTCCAGTTGAAAGTAGAATTCATTTTACCAATTGCCAATGAAATGTCGTAAATATGTCAAATTGGTTAAGTTTGCTTCTTTTGCAGCATGTATAACAATTCTTTTTCTTTTTACATGTTGGTGGCAATATAAAGCATTTCACATCTTAAAGAGCATACTGGTGTAGCATGATATTGTGAAGCATGTGGCAATGAACCAGGGTCAAGATACCATAATGGTGAAGTGAACCATGGTTCAATTAACAATTATGATGAAATGAACACTCCAACACAAATACCACCCTCTCCCGTCCCCCATGGGTATGTGTAGTCACTTTATATTTTGGTTTTAGCAGACATTTCTTCACTTAATTTTTTACCATTTTTTTTAGTTATGTTCCTCTATAATAAAACAAGAAAATATCAAAGGTTGGGAAATTTAGAATGGTGAAATGAATCGTAGTTCACTTTACCAGGGCTTCACTTTACCATACTACATCGATATTATAACTAATAGTCATTCAAGGCTACTGAGCGATTTAAAAATTTCAGGTAAGGCTATCAAATTCATCATTTAAGTGACATTAATGTAGAATAGATCATTTTTTGATAGAATGTATCAGAATATTAAGACAACCAATTTGAATCATAACAATTGTTTAATTTTTTTTTACATTAGCACACTAGAAGTTCCAAAACACTTTTTTTCCAAATTTTCTCTTGATCCAAAACCATTATGACAATTGATGTTAGACATGTTTTTTTAACGTGGTGAGCACATTTTGGGTATTACAATTACCACATAAAATTGAAGCACACTCAAAACTACATCCTAAAGTATGGGTTAGGGATGATTTATATTTAAACAGAAGATCATAAGCAAGTTTTATTTTTAGACAAATTTTTGGAAATACACACATTAACGGGTAATATTATTGATTCCTGATAAACCTTAATCAAGAACATAAAAAGTAGCATTGACTGTAACTATGAAAACCAAATTGTACAATGACAAAACATGCGATACTGATGAAGATTCAAATGCAGTTTCCAAATGTCAACACAATTTGTTTCGATGTACTTCAGTTTGTTGTATCAATTGAGTCATACTTACAGTAGTTATGATGTAGACAATAATAGATATAATGCTCTGCTATGTTGGTTGGAGAGTGAGTCCAGTTGCGCACTTCTGTGCGATTGTTTTTAAGTGTGGCCAAGACGTACTCAAGTAAAGAAGAGTTACCTCCCTTCCCGTTCACCATATATATCAATAGTGACGAATTTTACAATGGTTAACACTTTCATCTATGCAAAAAAAAAGTAGCTGCATAATGTTTCATTTCATCTTTATTCAACAAAAATATTTCACAGAAACAAGTCACCATACATGGTACATATAATCAACCATATAACTTTTGCTTTTAATCATTCATAAAATATTCACATTTAATTTTCATCCGATATTTTCCAGAAAGGCTAAGAAGCAGATTTTTTCATATTGTTTGGAATATTGTGTCTCATTATCCCTGACAAAAAAAAGAAACAAGGATACCAAAATGCACACTAAAGTATTAGCACATACTTCTTAAACATTCAGAAAACTTTAACATATCATTGAATTTCCTGTACTAGAATCAGTTGTATCACACTGATGAAACTGAAATTCACATCATACACCTGATTTACACCCTTGGATTTTGTGGTACAGTGGTGAAACCATGATACACGGTGGACATCAGATTTAATGGCAGGCTCATGAAAAATTAAAATCACTTTCAAATCCATTCTTCTTTCTCTCTTTCACTGCAGTTTTACTAGTGTCTGATGACAGACACCGCCTGTGATCAGATAATGTAATATCAAACAAGGTCTATTATCAGACATGTGATGGCAACATTGCCTTTGATGATGATGTGATGACAAATGTTGCCTGTGATAAAACAATTTGGAGGCTAATGTTGCCTGTGAACAAATGATGTAACAATAAACACTGCTTGTGATATATGATGTAACAATAAACAGTTTGCGATTACACAATATGATTGGTGATTTTTGATGCAATGCTGTCCAATGGTGTCCATCTTGATAATTCTATTGCCTCAAAGATTTCCTGCAACAAATAAAAACAGAGTCATAAGCAAACCAAATAAAAAGAGTTGTGTGAACTTTATCCTGTCTGGTTGATTTTGTTAATCAATAAATTTTCATATATATTTATTCCATCAAACATTGCTACACATAGATGCTATCTTTGGGATGGAGGCAAATTTCATTTTTTAATTGCATTTATTCCCTTCTTGTCTCTTAGTTGTCCTTTTGTCAGTCATTGCATTTTTCTGCATGATTAGATACAAATTGAAACCTACATATAAAAGTTGAAAATTATCCTAACAACACTTCTCAAGAAGCAGTAATAACAAACTTTAACTGTCAAAATCCAAGAAGGCATGTCAATCATACTTAAATGAAAACTTCCAATTTAGGAATTTTTTTTTTTTGGTGTGTGTGTGTGGAGGGGGGGGACCTTCATAATCCATAATTCTCAAGATATAATAACTTAAACTGTCAAAATGCAAAATGTCCATCTGTCAGCCATATTGTTTTTTTATGATAAGTAAACAAATTTGGCCATGTACAACAGGAAGAGAATACAGGAAGTAGTAATACGAGGAAATATTCATCCAGACAGCAATTTTTGTCAAGAAATAGAAATAACAATCTTATTTTTCTAATCAGTCCCAAAAAATTGATCATGCACAACTAGGGGTCAATGAAGGACTACCTATGAAATTTTGAGAACAACCCTTCTCTTATCTAAGACAGGTATATCCACACTTTATACTGCTGTAAGATTTCCTTGTCTCACCCTAGGGTTGATACAAGGGAATTTCCGTCCGGACAATGATATGACTACAGTAACAATTCACTGATGTCACGTCAATAATTCAATTACATTAACAATGCATTGTGACAACAAAATCCCATACAAGTACCTAATAAGGCCAGCAGAGTAGGAGTAAATACTCTTCCATCCCTTGTTGGTGAGATGGGGGATCTCAGCTCTAAGGAAAAGATGATTAAGTTGCAAACAAATTCAATCATCATTCGCCCTCAGGTTGAGACCATCCTCTCACCTCTGAGGGGGTGAAAGATCATATTAATCTACTACTTCTCAAGAAGACATAAACATGTGTGACAGGTGAAAGGGCATTTGAACATGAGGATGAAATAGTATGTATCACCATTTTATGATTTAGACAATGAATTCATACCTCACTCTGTTCCATGTAGTCTTTGTTGTATCTGAAAATATCAACTTCCAATTCGGGTTCTGGAATGAAAATGCAAACTGATATAAAACATTTGTGAAAACAGCATTTGATGAGACTGATACAAAATCTAAATTGGCCATATTCTCAGCCTATCTTTCTTAATTTGGTGAGGCCACCATACATATGACATCAAGAAAAGTACAGGCAGCCTAATGGAAGGAAATGACATCACAGCTCCAATAGGTCATATTACACATCTAATTACAAAACATAATGTAATGTAGGTTATGTGGGGTATTACACTGCAAGTAATTTTGTGATTAAAGTGCATGTCAAGCCTTACAACTCTGTGTAGAATTCAGGAACCTTATCATCAATCAAGTTCCAGTACAGTTTTTAGATATTAATGCCTCTGTCATGATTCCTCACACAGATGATATTTACATAAGGGTTAATGGTATGTTTCACTCTATTGCTCATTAATATATTCATATAAAAGTTAATTGTCAATGCACATTCTGATGACATCACAATGTTTAAAGCATCCAAGAAATGTCTGCACAGACTGTGAAATAGGCTTTATTTAAAGTTAAACAAAATATAACTAGTTACACAAAAGGAAGTTGGTAACAACCTGCTTCATACATCAAGGTACTTTGATAGTAACTATAGACATTGCATGAAAAATTTATGAAACTATTGAAAGGAACGTTATTTTCAAAACATATCTTTTCTGTGTGTTTACAGGTAAAAGAACAATATCAACCTATATGTATGAACAATGGGCAATAACAGAATTGTACAGGATATCTAGTATTGTTTTACCTTCTAAAGAATCAATATCTTCTTCAGTGTTATGCTCATGGTGTCCACTCTGTAGAACAAAAATATATAAATTATTATAGAATTTGATCAACGAGATATTCAACATCATCACTTCCTTTAAGCAGTATCTTACCTCAAATGCAATATTTCTTATTTTCAAGATAAAATGGCATGCAGCCATATTTAAACAATGCATTCCAAACGATATAAATCTCCAGGAACTAATTAGACTATCTATCATATCCAACAACAATCCAATCCTATCATTGTTGGACACTTTGGAGAAATAAAAAGCAATTCAACATTTACTACTCATTGTTGTCCACAAGGAAAATTTAAATAAAAGAAAAAGAAACCACTTTTTTATCCAATGAGGTAGAGACATGAATAAGTGTGGAAAGTTCCATAACCTTTGGGCAAAAAACCGAAGGTGGCAGAGTGAGGATGATGAAAATCTATTTATAGTAACAATGACCTGAAATATAGAACCAGGTCATGACAAGAACTTGTACAAGTAATGAAGATTGTGAGCTAGTAAGGGGAGTGTTTAGTTTTGTATACATACCTGGCGGGGAGTGTAGTCTTGGTTGTTGTAGTAAGTGTGGGAGTTGTAGTAGTTGTAGTATGTAGCACCGTAAGGATAACTGTGTCCATAGTAGTGACCATAATGCATACCCCCTGACATATCTTGAGGCACAGGTCTGCAATGCGCAAAACAAATTTATCCATCTAGAATCTCTATCAATTATTCTTTTCTTTTTATTTACCATTTTCATGATCTCGGCTAAGTTGCATTAAATCTTTTTTTTCCATTCTAAGCATTGTGAGTTCCATTCATTATTAAGGTTGCCATAATGTAAATAGCTAGTGTAGAAACAACAGAATGCATTACTGTTTCAAAATGTTATCTAGATTCTTGTATAATGGAGAAAATTATATTACAATTACAGCATTATTGACAAATAACCCAAAGCAAAAATATCTGCCGCAAATAAAATCCGCAAAGGAATATAAAGGTAGGATCTTACCGTTTTGGTGTTGCTAGACTCACACGGATAGGCTTTGACCCAATACCCGTCATATGCTGCATTTCTATCAGTGCTCTCTGCTGGTCTGTCTCCTCAGAGAAGCGAACAAACCCGTAGCCCTTGCTGCGTCCGTTGTTTTCTAGTACAACTGCGAAAATAAAACAATAATACACTGCTAGCTTCATTTCATCGTGGTACTACTTTGAACAACCAAATTCTGGCTGGTATTTTCTAACTACCCTTCTGGTATGCGTTTTTCATGCGAAACAAAATGAATGATTTATTAAAGTTTGATATTTCGAAATGATACAAGTGTTAATTCAAAGTCTTGATAAAAGTGCTAAAGAAGAATACATGTATTTGGTGTGGCATAGTTCTCTGTTTACCTTTGGCTGATCTGCAAGATCTGTATTTCTTGGCAAATGCATAATACAAAACATAGTCATCAACATCCATGGACAGGTCACCAATGAAAAGAGAAAATTCTGGTCTGAAAAACAAAAACAAAGAAAATTCAATTTAATAGATCTATCATACAATTCTGTTATTATACTACAAATACAAAAAACTGTGTTTCATCCTATTTTACAAAAACACTAAGCAGCCATTACTACAATAAAGAAAATAACTTCTTTTATGACATAACCAGTTGGCATCAAATCTAATATGAAATGAAAAATAATTTACGATCTTACATTTATAACATGCCTGACGTAACTGTACTTAAATTATGTCAGCTTTTTTTTTTTAAAAATAAAAATCAACAAAATTGCAAACCAATCATTATAATTCATTTCAAACAATGACAAAAAGAATTCAAAGTAAAATGTCAACAGAGAGTTCATAAAGCAAATTAAGTGAGACTCACACAGCAAGATGTTCTTTTCCATGACTGGATGTATTCAGCTTAAACCGTTTGGGCTGAAACATTTTAGAAAAAACAGTTATACATTTTATTTTTTAAGAATCAAATTCACATTTGCAAAAAAAATAAAATAATAATAATAATAATAAAAGTTTGGCTTTTAACTTGTATGATAACTAATTCTAATTACACATCTGTCATCTAATAAATTGTCAGATGATATGCTTCCTAAAGAAATCAAACTTCATAAATGACATCAAGCAAAGTACACAATGATCAATAAAAAGATCTGTAAACTCATTACACAAAATTATCAAATAATACCATAAATACACACAGGGCTACTGTTGGGAATGATTTTTCCATTCAGTTTTAACATTGCATCATGTGCCTTTTCTGCATCATGGAAGTCGATGAAACAGTAGCCAGCTGGGAGACTGGAAAGAAAATATAGTAATGATGATAATATTTCAAATTTCAAAAAAAGAAAAAAAATTCATGATTTTGAAGATAAAGCATCCATAAGGAGGGGTTCCAGAAAACAGTCATTTAATAGTCAAACATGTGGATAACATCTAAACTACAATAATTAAGAGAGATTCATGTTGAGAATCATTAGTCTTTTATATATATATATAATGTTAAACCACATTGTGAGGGTCTCAAGTATGATCTTTACTGAACAGAAAACTTTATCCATTCAAGAACATTCCTGTATGTGAAAAATATTTGTTGTGTTTGTCTTTAATCTTCTAGTCTATTGATAGATCTTAGGAAGGTACTGATCATGACAATGAATAGTATGTTGCAAACTGAAGCCCTGACCTCTCGGAAATTACAAAACCATATCCAATTCATTGGGGTGTGATCTAAAATCTTAATCCATACATCTTTGGGAGACAATGTGTCACAGACCGCACTAGGGAATTTTGCTATCTATGTAAGAAACTTTTTTCCCTTTATAAGGTGAAGACAGTTCCTTGGGTTCTGTTGAACCAGTGTTTTTTTTCATGAGTCCAGGCCAGAGCACCACTTCCAAAATGTGCAGTTACAAGGAGACATAACTGGTTCTAACAATTTGAATGAGTCCCACATGAAATGCAAGAGTCAGGACTCAAATCTTATAACCTTGAAAATCACAGAATGTTGCATACAGGACTGGGATAAAACCCTGAATAGCATGTATGTTGATAAAAACAGTCAGTTCCAGCCAAATCCTCCCAATTCAACTCAACTATGGAATATTATGCAAAATCTTCAAAGATTTTTTTTTAAACAGAGTTTCATGAATATGTTTGTTTTGTAATGTCGCTTATGTAGAAAAGAAGGTTCTTAAGAAAATACTTTTTGTGTTTACAAAATGACTGTTGTTTTGCACTCCTTCCAAGCATCTTACCCTGTGACCTTGTTTTTAATCAATTTCATGGATTTGATTGTTGTTCCCATCTGCTCAAATGCAGCAGTGATGAAGTAGTCATCCATGTAAGGCTCCAGCTGAAGAAAACAAGAAACAAAACTTAGATCTACAATGTAATATATAAACAAGATGCGTTTACGAAACAATGCAAATTCTTATGTGGGACATTAAAATTTTAGTGTGTAAGGTATGTGCAAATTGCATGCACACTTTGTGAAAGACTGATGTCTTATAATATTTTTTTAATTTCAGAAGTAGACCAAAGGTCACGGTCTGGGTCACATGGTTAAAATTTTTGCTACCACCAGAAAGGTCTTGTCACGGGGAACAAGCATGTCAAATATGAAAGCCCTACCTCTTATGGTGCGATGGGTAAGGTTAAAATTACCAACAGATAAACATAGAGAACACATTAAAAGGAAACAGACAAAAAGTATAGAGGTATATTAGATAATCGACAATGTTAAAGGTGTACAGGGTGTATTCGTTTGGTTGCAAGTCATCAACGCAGCATAGTTATCGTTTTATCGAGATATCATTTTAAGGGATCCGAAACTGATGCGCCAAATACATGGATACATCTGTACTTTTATCGTTCAATACAAAAGCAGTCGAGTAGTTCAGAATCAAGTTAGTTAGTGTTGTCAATGAGACCTTTACTTCCCAAGAAATGCGTTTAAAATGACCAAGCACTTACATCTCCCATCCAGAGAGACAATGATGCTCCTGACATGCTGCAAATAAAAGGTTTCTGATTGCTGTGATAAAACGTGGTAGTACTACATCTGCCTTATTTTTGTGAGATGAAAGCCTCTGACTGAGTAAGATCGGCGTGAAAAGCGTCCCTGTGTGTATGAGTTTGGTCGCAAAAATCTATGACGTAGTACACAGATTGCCGAAAAGGAACGAAAGGAGAGAGCACGTGGACATGATAGTCAGGAAAAATACTAAACCGTAGAAATGGAAGTTGTTGTCGGCACTTATGACGAGGTTCTGCTCGGTTATAAGATAATTAAGGTTGCACAGGTAGTTACTGCACTTATTCAAAATTATTAACATAATTATGATATGAGCAAACGGGGAAAGTATCCGCCCCGCTGAATTGTTCAGATGGAACTGGAAGGAACGCATGGCCCGCTCTCTCGTAAGCGGTCACAACTTCAGATCGGGACCGAGATTTGGTCGCGGATTTTTGTCTGTAGAATGATGATTTGATGTCAAATTTCCAATTTATTATGCTGTTGTGATTTGTTTTACATTTTTGCTGATTATGCACATATTGGAGACGCACTGTAGACTGTAGTAGCGAATCTTTTTGTATTGATCGCGGTTGGCAGTCGGGATAAGATTCTCGCAAGTTTGTCAAATATTAGATGTTGGAAGGTAGTGGTACAGACATGTTCAATAACAGGCTTATATCAGCAACTGGCATGCAACGTCTTTACATATGCAACCATTTCACACGGAATGATGATTTTTCGATACCTGATCTCGATGAAGATACTTTATCATGGAACCTCTGAAGTGTGACGTTGTAGGGTGTACTTAATTCGTGTTTGTATTTGATTTGAATATAAGTAATACTGACAGTCTTAGAAAATCGACTTTGTCATAATATCATGGTATGTAAAGTAAGATTTTACAAAGTATAAATCTTTCAGTAGAAAAAATTCCTGAAATGTTGAACTTGAGTTCATTTGGGCTGATCAAAGTCTTTGTACATTTGAACAGAATCTTTTTTTATTTCTCATAGAAGCTAAGAAGGGTTTATTGTCAACTGTCTCAGAAAAAGGAGCCTGTAATGAGTCAGAGCTTTGGAAAATTTCTACTTTTCCCAAAATATGGAAAATATCTTATAATTAGAAATTACCCCAGGTCACAAATTATACACAATCATATGTTTCTTCTTAACTTCAGCAACCCATCTGGTGTATTTTAATTTGGTGATTACTTTTGCTGTATTTTCAAGGACAGTTCTAGTAAGATTTCATTCTCCAAAAGATATGATGTAGTTAAAATAATTTCTAATCAAATGGATCACGCTACTGTGATTTTATGTATCTACATGATTTACACACAAATGATGAATCTTTCAATACCTGAGCTCAATGAAGAGATCATATGGAACCTCTGAAGTGTGTATGATGTAATATTTGAAGTTTTTAGTCACATTGTGGTTTAACATTGAACATCGTTCTAAGCAGGATTTGACCCTTAATTTGGAAAATATCATACAATGAATATTTACATCGGTTCACAAATTAATACACAATAGTTTGCTTCTTCTTAACTTTCACGACCCTTCTGGTGTATTTAATTTGGTGATTACTTTTGCTGTTTTTTCAAGGACAGATTTAGTTAGATTTCATTCTCTAAAAATATAATGTAGTTAAAATGATGGTAAGAGTTCCTTTTGAACCCCCCACCCAAAGTGGCTACCAATGGGTTATTATACCTGGTAAATATAATACAAGTGTCTGAAAGGGTTGATTTTAAGACAATGCCCCAATTTTTCTTGGTACCCCTTAAAATAAACCCTTTTAGATGCTTATTATAGCCTACAGGTAGTCATTTTGGGTGGGGGGTTCAAAAGGAACTCTTTCCAAAATGATTTTTAATCAAGTGAATCACTCTACTGTGATTTTATGTGTGTACATGTTTAAACACAAATGATGAATCTTTCAATACCTGAGCTCAATGAAGAGATCATATGGAACCTCTGAAGTGTGTATGATGTAATGTTTGAAGTTTTTAGTCACATTGTGGTTTAACATTGAACATTGTTCTAAGCAGGTTTTGCCCCTTATTTTGGAAAATATCTTACAATGAATATTTACATTGGTTCACAAATTAATACACAATAGTATGCTTCTTCTTAACTTTCACAACCCTTCTGGTGTATTTAATTTGGTGATTACTCTTGCTGTTTTTTTCAAGGACAGATTTAGTTAGATTTCATTCTCTAAAAATATAATGTAGTTAAAATGATTTCTAATCAAGTGAATCACTCTACTGTGATTTTATGTGTGTACATGATTTACACACAAATGATGAATCTTTCAATACCTGAGCTCAATGAAGAGATCATATGGAACCTCTGAAGTGTGTATGATGTAATGTTTGAAGTTTTTAGTTGCATTGTGGTTTAACAGTGATCATCATTCTAAGCAGGATTTGTCTCCCTTTGATTTAGGATAATCTGTTGATAAACTAAACTCTTTCATGCACTACATTCTAACTTAACCTGTGTGTTAGAATTACAGGCATGAAATACAAAATAAAACTACCGCAGCCCAACATTTTTGAGTTTACAGTAAGTGGAGGTCAATAGAAGTAAATACAATCATTTCACATGCAGAAATGATGATCATTCTATACCTTATCTAAATGTAGAGATCTTATCATGGTACCTCTGAGGTGTGTGATGTAATGTTAAAAGTTTTTGGTCGCATTGTATAAAATATAATGTAGTTAAAATTATTTCTAATCAAGTGTATCACTGTAAGGGGATTTTATGTATGTACATGATTTACACACAAATGATGATCTTTCGATACCTGAGCTCAGTGAAGAGATCTTATCATATGGAACCTCTGAGGTGTGTATGTACTATACATGTCCTAAAGATAATTTTGTGCTTTACAAATATATATCTAAGACTTGAAATTACAAATTATCAAGGAAAATTCTATTCTTGATAGAATTTAGAAATTACTGTTCTCAGTTGAGGGAAATGGATGTTTATGATTATCGAATTTAGATATTTGTGATATCAGTTATATATATTAAAGTTCTAATTTAGTGTATGAAATCTTGCAGCATATACTATAGATTATCACTGAAATATAATTAACGAGTAGTAAGTATACTGTATTTAATAAAAATCCTAAATTATCCATTGCCATATTTTAATTTGACATCGATCTTCATGAAAATTATTAAGTTTGGCTGTAATAAGGCTCTTGAAACGATCTACTGGTATTTCATGATAACTTTATATATTGCAGGGTTTTCCATAATTTTGTTAGTAGTAGGCTGTGTAGTGAAAGTAGGAGGCTGGCCTGCCGTGTACATGTAGTCGTATACGGAACATTATTACGGAACTGGAATGGTGTAGGCGGCCAAATGAGCAAAGTAGCAGGTCAAATTGGCCAGCGACCGGCTCTTATGGAAAACCCTGATATTGACAGTAGAAATGCCACTAGATCTTAGATTGTTGCAGAATGAAGGAGTTTTAGTGAAATTCAACAACCCTCTTACACTTGCTGCATTTTATATTGGTATAAAATTTGCACTATTTAAGCCGGCAGATCAGCTGAACATAGTTGACCATGTGACATACGGTGCAAAGATGAAACTTTATGATCTTGTAATCGAGTTCTCCTGTGATCATGGGAGGACTTTCAAGGTCATGAAACAAGTTTAAACAATGTCATTACAAATCAGATTAATACACACACACTGTGACCGTGTAACATTTAGTAACTGACTATATGTCCTATACTAGAATAATGCCAAATCTTGGTAAACTTTTTCTCGGTTTATCTGGAAACATCTCAAACTCATAGACTGCTTTTTGCTTTGCTGCATGTCAAGGGATTAAAGCTATTTTTGTTTACTTATCTGAGGAAATTTTGCAAATTGAATAGTAGTCTATTTAAATGTATATAATTATTGTTTATTATTAACTTGTAATATTTTACAAATAAATATTTGTACATTGTGAAATACATCTAAATAATACGTTTAACAGAAAAGATATATGTTGTATATTGATCCTTATCAGTACTGAAATTCTCTACTGAAGATGTAACATGATCATGTAATTTAATAAAATCAAATTTTTAATTCAATTTGAATCCAGCAAACATTGGGGAATTGTGAGTTTAATCGCCTCCTTTGCAAGGAAGTTCCATGTGTGTACACAAGTCATGATTTATCCAGACAATATTATAAAACATTATGCAAACAAAATATTTGCTGTGTAATTTCATTTTTATGGAATGTCTGCTAATCTGGAAGAAGAACAAACTTAGTACTTTTCTCACTTTTGGTTGGGAGGAGGAAGATGGGAGGACTTAATTGCAGGCAACCAAAATTCTCCATCACCACATCCATTCCAGGAAGACCCACAAAAGTAGGGAGAGGGGTTATTTATGGTAAAGTCCCTATATTGATAATATTGACCCAACAAGGATTTGGTCTACATTTGTTGTCGGGCCTGGATATTAGAAGGCCTACCCAGATCTTTGTTGTCCTATATAGTTATAATAAAAATTGATTTCGTCATCATAACCTTTTCCTCCATCTGTGTATATACCAACATTGCACTAATTAAGCCGGCTGATCAGCTGAACATAGCTGACCATGTGACATACGGTGCAAAGATAAAACTTTATGGTCTTGTAATTAAGTCCTCCTATGATCTTGGGAGGACTTTCAAGGTCATAACACACGTTTAGACGATGTCCATAAAAATCTGATTGATACACACACAGTGGTATTATTACATACAGTAACTGACAATAATGTTAATTCTTCAATATTTACAGGAATACCAGTTTGATCAGAGTTTCACTGACCATTCACACATGGGATGTATAAAGGCTTTGACAGTGTCTAGGAAGGGAATCCTGGCTTCGGGCAGTACAGATGAGACTATTCGCTTGATTAACCTGAAGAAGAGGACAGAACTTGGCTCTCTAATCCAACATTCAGGTCCAATAGTATGATAATTTGTTATATGATAGATGTATCGTAGAAAAAAGAAATGTCACCATTGATACTTAAAAGATTACTATAACCTGTATGTTTTAGCAGTAATCTTAGTTTTGCGTTTACTTTTGTGTGTAACATTTTTATTTTGCATACTTGATACTATCAGTCACCTAGTCTGTGTGTCACTTTGTGTGGAATATATCTCTGATAATCAGTGTACATACTGGAGAATGCTGTAGGTTGCACACTATCAATCACTTGGTCTGTGTCATTCTGTCTAGAACATTTGTCTGATTATTCATGGGATGGTGAGTTGTTGTGCACAGATAAAAGGTCTTGTGCCAAAGTACCGTATAAACATACTAGAATGCACTGTCTTTCCATGCTGCTCTTTTAAATGGGTTGTCATGTTGTTATCGTGCAGATATCAAATCTTGGCCTTGGAAAATCACTTTCTATATAAAGTGTTTTGATCTGCAGTCTTGAGACAAATTTAAGCTCACTTTGCACAGGTGATGAGAATCCAGTTGAATGTTCATAATCACCATAATCAAGTATTTGATTCATGTAGGCATTGTATTGTTGTTAAGTGATAAAATTAATATTCATTGAAAGGTTACAAATACACTTGTAACATAAAAATGCCTCTCTCACCTAGAATTTGCAAAGATTAAAATATATTGACTATCAATATCTATATCAAATTATTATGCTTTTTTTTGGCTAGGTACCAATTATCAATTATAAAAAGAATAATCAGTCAGCGATCAGATCAGTAAATTTGAATAATTGGTTAATCCAGTATCTTCATTTATCATAGTGTCCCATCATTTATATCAGTTATGTTACTTTTTTACATGTACATAATGTCATGATTAAGATATAGGCAAAATAGTGTTGTTGGGTGATGTCAAGGGAGATAACCCATGTAAAGTTGGCCAGACTCCATTAATCTGTTTATCTCTTTTGAATATTTCATGTATAGTCATCTGGTATATGTACCAGTGATTCCTGTAGGTTGTACTCTATCAGTAAGTCTGTGTGTCACTTTGTCTCAAACATTTCATGTGTAGCTATCTGATATATGTACTTGAGTGTCCTGTAGGTTCCACACCATCAGTAAGTCTGTATGCCACTTTGTTTGAAATATGACATTGGGTATAAAGTTGGTTCTCATAGATTAAAATTTCCAAATTTTGTGTCTGCTTCTTAGAAAGGTGGATTATTGTTGGTAGATACAAGGTCTCCTACCCTACAGTGGTGTTATATACAGAGTGGTAACACTTGTATAATTATATTATCATGCACTCCGTCTTTACATGGCCTCTCTTTCCTGTAGGTTGTCATGTTGTTCTTGTGCAAATATAAAATCTTGGCCTTGGAAAATCACTTTCTACATAAAGTGTTTTGATCTGCAGCCTTGAGACAAATTTTAAGCACATTTTGTACAGGTGATGAGAATCCAGTTGAGTATTCATAATCAACACAAGTATCTGTTGTAGTCAGGTTCTTGTAGGCATTCCATTGTTGATTAGTGATAAAATTAATATTCATTAAAATGTAACAAGTACATCTGTAACATGAAAATGCCCCTCCTACCTAGAATTTGCAAAGATTAAAATGCTTCAGCAATCAATATCTATATCAAATTAATATGCATAGTATGAAATTTGTTTTTGCTAGATACCAGTTATCGATTATAAAAAATAACGATCAGTCATCGATCAGATAAGTTGAAATTGAATAATAACCTAATCTAGTTTCTTCATTTATCACAGTGTCCCATCATTTATATCAGTTATATTACTTGTTCATGTACATATTGTCATAATTAAGATGAAGACAAAATAGTGTTGTTGGGTGACGTCAAGGGAGATAACCCATGTAATGTTGGCCACACTCCATTAATCAGTCTGTGTGTCACTTTATCCCCAACCTTTTAATGTACAGCTATCTTGTAAGATTAAGATTTGCAAATTTTGTGTCTGCTTCACAGGAAGGTGGATTATTGTTGGCAGATACGAGGTCTCCTACCCTACAGTAGTGTTATATACAGAGTGATAACACTTGGATATTTATATTATCATGCACTCCGTCTTTACATGGCCTCTCTTTCCTGTAGGTTGTCATGTTGTTCTTGTGCAAATATAAAATCTTGGCCTTGGAAAATCACTTTCTACATAAAGTGTTTTGATCTGCAGCCTTGAGACATTTATTAAATAGGTAATTTCAAGGGAGATGATTAAGTTGTCCTGCATACTGAATCAAACAATTTAAGTTAAAGAATCTGAAAATTATAAGGATGATGTTTTGTCTGGCTTTCCTATATTTCACTGATTTCCAGAGCATTTTCAAAATGCATACAAATTATACATGCTCTGCTTTCTATTGATTGTCATGTTGTCATTATGCAAACAAAAAATAGAAAATCCTGGCCTTGGAGAATCACTTTCTGTTTAATACAGTGCTTCATCTGCAGCCTTGACACACTCTTCAAATAAACTGCTGATATCATGTTTATAAGTTATTTTTATGATAATCTTTTTGTTTACCAAAGTTCAAATTTCAATGCATAACTTCATGATTCTATAAGTTTCCTCTCATCTTACAGGCACAGTGACATGTTTGAAGTTCCATCACAGCAGTCATATGTTCAGTGCAAGTGAGGATGGTACTATAGGGATATGGAAGTACTTCACCTGGGAGTGCCTCAAGACTCTCCGTGGCCACACGTAAGAATTCTGTAAAGTTATTAATTTATCTAATGAATCAGTAAAAATTCAAAGATGCGGTTTTCTGTAATTTGCATCAGTATCTTAAAAACCTAGATAGATTTGGTTCATATCTACCCCACAGCATCACATCAAGTTCAGACAACATTAAAGGGTAAAAATTCAGGTGATGATTTTTACATACCAAAATCTCCTTATATTTTCCTTTTAATGATAAAATAATTGCGATCCAGTGTTTTTAAGATGGATTCATTATGATATTTGTAATGTGGATGATTTAATTTGAAATATGGCAAACAATGTGAACTACAAGTTTGATGTCTTTGCATTGTTTTCGTTATAGGTCGGCTGTCAACTACATTTCAATACATCCAAGTGGGAAGCTTGCTCTGTCAGTGGGTCGTGATAAAACACTGCGTACCTGGAACCTGATTACTGGACGGTCTGCGTACACTACCAACATCAAACAGGGTAAATACTATTGTCTGGTATTATATCATTCATACACAGAAGGTGATGTGGTCGCTGTTAGAAAAAAAAAATGAATATTTGAACTTTTTTCTCTGACTTGTGTGAAGTGAAGAAAGACATGAGTATTTGTTCTTATATCTTACCATGGTATGCATTTAAAGCCACAGGGGTTTTCATTAATGAAAGAAAAAACTACCAAACATCTATGAGACCTAGAATAATGGTACATTGCCTGTTGCTCAAAAGTTATCAATAGACATGGTCACAGAGACTTAATATAGCAAGTTGAAAAAACTCCTAGAATACACAACATCTATCACAAAATAACTAGGGATTTGTAGGTCAGATGAAGCCTGTCTGGGACATTTTTCCACCTAGAACTTTAACAGTCGTGTGTTGCCACTCTTAAACAAAATTGTCCGTTTCATTTAGAAATGTTACCATGTCTGAGGTACATGATACCAGAACTTAATTGCATTTAAATAGGAATATCCATACTTTTTGAAAGAAAAGATGTTTTGTTGATTTGTTGTGTAATGAATAAAAGACAATGAGAGAATGGAAGAAATGAACTTAACATGCATATAACACTTCAAACAACGTCTTCTGAAGGATTACAGTACAGATAAAATTGAAATTGAATTTCGTTATAAAAATATAAAGCATTATTTAAATAAATGAAGAAATGGGATGTGTTATTGATTTATCAAAAATTGTTTATCATTCGCAGTTCAGATCTGAATATATTTTGCAGAACCATTAAAAACAAATGACATGATTTCCAATATATACTGTAAGATGCAGGACACAACATTTTAACTTTACAGTGCACTGTCTTTACATGCTGCTCTTTCCCATGTGTTGTCATGTTGTTATCGTGCAGATATCAAATCTTGGCCTTGGAAAATCACTTTCTATATAAAGTGTTTTGATCTGCAGCCTTGAGACAAATTTTCATGTTTTATGTTTTTTACTCATTTATTCATGAAAAGAAGGAGATTATAAATGTCTTTTCCCTACTTCATGACTTACAGGACACAGTACAGATTTTAGTGTCATAAAAGTGTTAAATTAACTCTTTATCAAAACCCAAGTGTTTCTCAGCTTATTTTGGTGGTCTGGGTATTGAAATGTACACCATGGTTTTCTCACTTTTTCACAATGTCATTGGATCCATAACTCTGGGAAACATTTCCTATATTTACACAAGACCTTAGTGTGCTTGTTACATGGCTGTGCATATAAGAATGAATCAAAAGACAGGTTGGCCTGGCCTACTGAAATTGAACTAAATAATGATTTATTACAGAAGCTACTCAGGTTGTCTGGTCCCTGAATGGTAACCACTATGCTGTTGTCTTCGCTACACGCATTGATATATATAATACACAGGTAAGTATTCATTTCTGTTTTTTCAGACTTCTGTTTGAAAATCTTATCAGCATTTAAACTGATAATATTGATATTGATATAATTCATTGTAAGAAGCAAAACAAATGTGCATTGCAGACAGTTTCGTGTGTCAAGTGTTTTCCTGGCTTTATCAACTAAACGGCAATTTGATATCTTTTTGTACTGAAAAGTTTAGCTAACTCAGAATAATAAGTAATGGGTTTTGCATGTAAATAAATCTAAATTACCTGTTAAAATCCTTGAGTTATATTGTAACAACCCAACCCTCTGCATAATTTTTATGTTTTGTTTTTCTTTCAGACTGCTGAAGTCGTTAGCACTGTAAAAACTACACACAGAGTCAATGATTTGGCATTCATTTCTGTAAGTTTGATAATTTTCTGGTGAAGTTTTAGTTCAGTTTATCTCTTCCTTCTTTTTTTAAGTCTGTAAAAATAATGTGGCACAGAGTATGCTGTTGTATTGTCTATACATTGTTAGCTATTTTTGTCTGGATATATGCTTTCCTATTACACCAACCTGTTTAAAACTTACAGAACGACATGTACATTTGTAAAAAAAAATGAAAAGTTAATGCCTCCCATTTGATCTTGTCTGAAAATTCCTTTTCTTTGTTTCTAGTTTGAATTTTGCAGGCATAGAACTACATTAAGTGATAAGTTATAATTACATTTCTATATGTCCAGACTTGAACACCTTGGCTGAGGATTCCACTCTGCTGCATTCCTTTTATATATGCATAATCAAGATAAAAGTGATGGTGTACATTTAGCCATTTTGAATTCCCTAGAATGCAACAAATTGAGCTGCTTTTGTCTGCTTTACATCCTACATTTTGTATTGATATTTGTCAGAAAACAGTAATGGTGTATGGAGGTGAGGGAGGACAGTTGCATTTCTACAACATCATCAGTAAAACAACATTACACAACATAGATACACAAACAAACAGGTAAATAATGTTATAGTTTTTGTAAACATTTTATGTTTGAGAACATCCTTGATAAAATTTAGACAACATTTAGAATGCTTCTTTAAAACTTTAAATTGATATATATCAAACTAAATAAATAAATTTGAGAGGGCTTCATCTGTAACATTGCATGAAACCAATCCTGTTTCAATACTTCTCCACAAGGTGGACAATTTTCAAATCAATGCTCATTGATGTAAATAAATGTCAGGTAACAGGAACTGAAGAAGTACCATTAAAAGAAAGTGTTGTTTATAAATTAAATGTGCCTTTCACATTTTTGATAAAAAAATGTTAAGGTCTGTTGTTAGAGAAAGTAAACATTACTATGTATAGGAAATAAAAATTTTAATGACTGATGAGGATGCTTGAAATGTAGATTGTAATGAGTTATTTTGAAAATTTGAAACAGAAATGGAATTTAAATTGCTTGTATTTCAGAATACGACAAATGTCTGTTGTACCTGCTCCATTGGAGGAAGGTGAAGAGAACAATGAAAACAAGCAGTGGCTATTTATAGCTGCCAGTGATGGCCACATCAAGATATTCCAAGTACAGCTGAAAGAGGTGCTCATTAGTTTGTAACTAATATAATGTACAACACTTCAGTTTATAAGCATATGCAGTTTAATCATTAACTTTGCAAGTATATAGTGAGGTCTCTCTTGTGTTGAAATGATTTTAACAATGTACTTATTTGCATTGTGATATTATACTCCTAGCAGTTGAGATGATAAAATGGGGGATGATGTTAAAGAAAGTGTTTGTTTATTTGTTTATAGACAATATCCTATCAAACCTCCTAGTTACGTAAAAAATTTGTTAATAGAGGGGGATGGCATTTAGTGGGTGGTTAAGGCGTTTTATCACTAGCCCTCCACCTTTGAGTTCTGGGTCTGAGTCAACAGGTTCTGGCCACATCATTGTGGTTTTCATATAGGACTTTCTCTGACTTTCCTCCACCATCCAAACCTGGCACATCACGAAATGACTGTTAACAGCACGTAAAACAAAAAGAAACGAACTTCATTATTTTTTATATAAACATTTAATTAAACTTTGATATACTGTTATGGTTTTGTTTATTACAGTGTAATAAATGAGTCTACATGTTCCTCTATATTGTGTATTGCAGGATGAAGTGGATACGGTTCTAGTAGCTTCTCATGATACCACATTCAGGCTGACATGCATGGCAGTGTCTTCGTTCAAAAGTAAAATCCCAGACGGCACAAATGATGATTCTCAGAAGCATGTGACTGAGAAAATATTCAAAGTTGAATCAAGTGATACAGTGACTGAATCAATAGATGTGCCACAGAAAGTGGTGTCCAGAGACAACACAGCGGAGAAATCATGCAAGAAGGGGGCTGCTAAGAAACTGAAAAAATCACAGAAAACATCCACGAAAAGACGGGCTGAATCAGAATCGGAAGATTCTGGAACAAATGTGTCGCATGATGTGATAGATGTAGACAGTGAGGACAGTTTCACACCAGTTAAAGCAAAGAAAGTGAAATTTACTAATGAAAATGTTGAAAAAGAGAAAGCTCGCAAGAAACTGAAACAACGTAAAGAAAAGAAAGAAATAGTAAAAACAAAACGTAAAGCAGTTACTCAAGGTCAACCAAAGAAAAAGAAGATAAAATCTTGATTTACAATAAAATAATTTTATTCACAAAATATTTGAATGGTTTGTGCTTGTGTATATGCCCGGTTTTTACAAAAACTTTACAAAGTACAACACTAAAAACGAAAGTTATGTATGCTGAAATTCGTAGCATGAATTGTTGAAAGCAGCATAAAAGATATGGTCTTTTTAGGTTCAATTTAAGAACTGAAGCACACCTTTATAAACTTGTATATATGTATTACATTTAAGTAATTCTGCATCTAACATTGAACTTTCTACAGTGTTAATTTTCTACAAAATTGCCCAACAGATATAAAACTTGAGATTTCATGATGGTACATGATGATTTGTGCATTTTAAATGTCCTAAATAGCACTCGTACAAAACATCTAGATAAATAGGAAATCTTGTCAGCACTAAAAAAATTTCAGCAACTTGACTCACATTTACACCAAACAATTAAAACAAAACAGTTATACTTCACAAAATATTCTAGAATCAGCCTATTTGAATTTTTTCCAGACCTTTTCAGCATTCAGACATTAAAAATTCTCTAAGCTAGAAACTGACAATCTCAACCCATGTTGATGCAGAGACATTTTCAGTTGGCCTTTGACCTGGTTCCTGGAATTTCATTTGTCCAAGGCATTCTTAATCTTGACTTTTGTATTAGAATAAAATTCATTTTTAAGAACAGAAGACTTTTGTCGCTGAAAGACTTATATAATTGACAAAAAAAGTGACTGGTGGCTATAATCTGTAAATACTTTACTACACACACATTTTTTTGACAAATTTAGCTTTATAAATCTGCCATGTACCAATCTTAACCGTCTCAACATTGATTTGAGGACATCAATCTTAACAACTTTGTGAGCACCCACAAAATCAACGAAAATATATCCCCATCCAAAATTAGTATTTTTACAATAAGCAGCATCCTAATCTCACCTCCTTCCCATGAAAATGACGGGCCAGAAAAATTTATCACTTTTTCTTTAGTCTTTAATATATAGCTTTATCTCCAATCCATATCACAACTAGTTGTCAGATATAAAATTCAAAATTGGTATAGGTTATCCAAATTGAGGAAAATGAAAGCCACAAGACTATACTGGACTTACAAACCTTGCATGCAAACTCTTCTAATGTGTCTGTATGTATACTGTTGAATACTGTATTTCATTCATTATATTGAAATACAAAAAGGCTGTAGAATATGGACAAGATGACAAGGAACAGGTTATATAACACTTTGATGCACCAAACAATTTTATGGCAAGGTCCTTGAAAACATACTTTAAAAGTTCCTCATAAATGACCTGTAGAACACTTGATATTGCAATGCATGAACACAACTTCCCTTTTTACTTCTGGGACAATCTGTATCCAAATCTGGCAACCATGAGGACACTGAAAATCATAAAAGTATTTATAATGAGACGCATTACTTCGGAGATTAAGAACCAACAAGTTGAGAGGCATAATTATCTACAGGAAACCTTCCTTTTCAATCACTTTAACATTTTTAGACAACCATGGTCATTTGCAGTTGGTAGCCTGTTAAAAAAAAACACCCTGCATTTGCCATTTGTGGTCCTTAAATAACTCTTTGTTATCCCTATTTCTTTAGAAAAGCAGAATGGATCTTTCTCCAATTTCATAAGTTGGTTTCCCTTGGTCCAATATTTGCCCTTTTACCCAAATTTTTGGGACTGATCGGAAAAGCCAAATGGATGATGGGTGGCCATGTTGTATTTTGACAAAGACAGTTTGTTATCTCTCAAAAAGGGCTCAATAGAACTTTCTAAAATTTCATATGTAGGATCCTGTTGGTCTCTTGTTGTGTCGGTTTGCTTTTGTTCCGTTTTGATTCTGGGACTGATCAGAAAAGCAAAATATTGATCCTTACCTCAGGCCTGCAACCACTCCTGCAGGCATGACCTTTTGTGTTTTGTAGAACCTTGACCCCATCACTGCCAACAGGATACCACTAACAGCTACAATAAACAGAATACTATCAGTGCAGTGTCACTCACCTCAAAATTAACACTAGACCTGCTGGCATGAACTTCCCTGACCCATAAAACCTTGATCCCATCACTAGTGCCAACAGACAACAGGTCACTGAAAACAAAGACTCAGGTGGTAAGCTGGCAGCTTGTAATCCTCCGACAGAATTCCCATCACCAGAGTTGTTAGGATTTTAAAGCTGTTTAGCTTACTTAAGCTAATAAATGCATGATACATGTACAAGCAGTGATTTATTATTTTTTTACCTTGCTACCAGTAATAGATATATTCCCCTTGCCAAATTGTCTTACACATATACAGGTACACATTTTCCCAAAATTAACAATAGTGTTTAAAATATTTCCTCAATTTTCTAGATATATTACTTTGATTCCCAAATGTTAAGGAGTCCAATTAAAATTGGTTTCATTTGTTCTCGGATTTACGAAGAGAATTTCTTTGGAGGCAGTAATATCAATAATGATAAGTAAAACTTGGGTTCAAGTATTATAAAAAAAAGGCATTCAAATGTATTTTTACATACTTAAGTGTTAAAATTTAACTCTGGTTTTAGACTTTAGATCTAAGCTGCTTATTTTCTTCGGAATACAGCAACTAATTATATCATATTTCTGTATTTAAACCATAAGTTGTTTCCTAATGAATATAGATAGAAAGTCTGAAGATGTTTCATAGAATGCTTAAGGAGACATCATTATTCACAAAATTCATCACCTATCAAGTACATTTATACCTTCATGGCCTTTACACTTGTTTTAAATCTTGATCAAATTAAGGTTGATATGTCTTCTTGTAGTGTTCTACCATATTACCATAGTATATGATGGTTAGAGTCTTAAATGAACATATGTCCAATATGGATTTTCAATTAACTTTTGTCAAGGGTGAAAAAACAGTTATCATAGCAGGTTTTTCAATTCCAGATTTTTTTTCTTTTTTAATAATGGTAACTTCTTCAATTCCTAAACGTTTTTTTCTTTTTTCTTTCCCCAAAATAATGACATAATTTTGCTATATTCTTACGAATATTATTTCCAATCAGGACAAAATTCATTTTCAACGCCAAATTCGTCAAGAAATTGATGTTTAGGAATATGTGTTACCTTAACAAACACTTAATTACTAAAAGTTTAAAGAGCTTTCAATTAAATGTTGTTAAGAGGACCTGTTTATGGTCCCGTCTACATAACTTCAGAAGGATTACATGTATAAAGTCAGGTGTATGCTGCAATAACTTATTTACTATGTAATCAACTGTTATAAATATTTTTCAAAATCAAAATTCTTTAATATTTGGTCATATTCCTGCCTTAATCCTAAAACTTGTCTGTACAGAAATGTATACACATTTTGTAACATTTGACAAATTTGATTTTCGTTGCTGACATTCCAATGAAATGGAGCTTTAATGAGATTGCTGATGAGTTTTAATGTTATTTAGATCCGGTGTTTTCCGCTTCAATGATTTCACGTTAAGTATTCATAGATTTAATATAAAAGTCAAACAACCTGATAAAAGCTATATTAATGTTTAAAAAGTCAGACTACAGTCTGACTAAAGTGAATGCTAATGTGTAAAGCAAGACTGCACAAGGTTATTTTGGGTAGAAGGCAGACAATAAGCAAGACTACACAAAGTTTTGGGTAGAAGGCAGACAATAAGTAAGGCTACACAAAGTTTTGGGTAGAAGGCAGACAATAAGTAAGGCTACACAAAGTTTTGGGCAGAAGGCAGACAGTAAGTAAGGCTACACAAAGTTTTGGGTAGAAGGCAGACAATAAGCAAGACTACACAAAGTTTTGGGTAGAAGGCAGACAATAAGTAAGGCTACACAAAGTTTTATAGCAGAAGGCAGACGGGTCAACATTTGAATACACTGCTGTTTTAAGCCAGCCAGCACATCCGTGCAATGAAACTCCATTAATTTAAAGGTTATGATAGCCTTTCAAGCAGGGAAAAAGTTACACCAGAAAACTATGGCACTTGTTGGGTTCAAAGTCGATTGATAATCAAATTAGCTGCTTCCAACCGTTCTTGACAGTGAAAACCTGAATATCATCACATCATCAAGTTGAATGTGATTGACACACAACCAAGGATGAATTAATATCTTTTAGTAAAGTAAATGAATGCCTGTCGAAGTATCACTACAGTAAGACAAAGGTGCTTTAGGGGACAAGAACAAAAAATCTTGGCTCCTTAAATATAGCACATATGCTCCTGTAATGAGTTATGTGATATGAACAAAAAACATGAAGATAGTGATATGATGAAAGAAAAGTCTATAATCTGGGGTATTGTGTGCAACTCTCTTTAATTAACATAAATACATCACCAAGAGACATGCAAAGCATCAAACTTCGAGTCCTGAGTGATGGTAACATTCTCTTGATATCACTTATAAATATTATCATTTTATATATTGCATCTCACAAGTGGACAAGACATTATCAATCTTAATACAGATGTAGCAATCCAGAAAACAACATACAGTGTAATTCATGGTTGGACAACTATAATCATACTCGTGAAACCTTCTAAATGGATCAAGGTCATTCATTTGAACAAACTTTTTTTTTTCTCAAATAGTCCATGCCTATACAATTTACCATAGGATACCTTAGGCCTCACTGTCATACAATGAAATCTGTGTACTTCTTTAACATATCTGAAGTTTGTGACAAAATGTATCAAAGTCATTTGATAAATCAAGTCTGATTGGCCTTCACAAAAATGCAACTGATAAAGTTGCATTGATACATGATGAACGAAGAGTGTCAGGTTACAATTTCAATCTTTCAGAAGGTGGCAGACTTAAAATCAAAGATAAACAAAATAAAACATTTCTCAACTCAAACTCAACAACTGCTTACAATTGATATTGTTATATGATAGAAGATTGTTAAAGTTCAGAAATATGAAGCTTAAAAGAAGAGAACTTTGACATACTTACCAAGAGAAAGCAGGACATTCTTGGGGTCCTGTGATGTTTGGTAGGCCCCTACTCCCATCAGTCCACCACAGATCACTCCTGCTGCCAAGGAAGGAACACTTCCTGTGGATGTGGAAATAAATATGGATTTAGCTTTAGTTTGAGCAAAATAGTCATGTGCCCTCTGTTAATTATACTTCAGTAATTCAATTACTATCAATATTATGTTATTTATTGATATTGCATGAATGTGATATATGAAATTTGAGTTGATGTTAGGGATAAACATGAGTTCTGTGATGTTACGAAGTGCAAATGTCTGGTTTTACCCATCAAAATCGAGGCTGAAAGTATGGTTTGAAAGACCACCAAATTAAAAGGCATTTTAAGTTATAATCAATTCATCAATATACTTAAAATATTTTCTTCAGTGTATGTATGCAGAATAAGGTTAAAAAATTGCCTTTGAAAAAATTCACTGAACAATAATTTAAGTATGAAGTCAAAAAATAACCTATTGAGCTGGTATTAGAACTTTCTCTCTGACAAAATACAAACAATAGGGAATACAGGAAAAATATTAAGGAAGTTGTGCTCCTCAAAATCTTACTAAGGACCATAACTCTGAATATTTTTTTCAACACCAAACGGAACACAATATCATCAGCCATACAAAGGCGAGTGAAAAATCACAATTTTCAAAGTCAGGCAGTAGATGGTCCAACAATCTTTGAGGTGAAAATACATGACGAGAATCTTTTGACAGGCTGTTTGTAACACAGAAACGTTGGATAATAAATCATCCAATCAGCGACCTCTTATGTAAGAAATACTACCATGCCTTCTTACTCAAAACCAGATTGGTTAGTATCCCAGATTCTGTACTGTCCAGAACATCTAATACTGTTTATATCCAGTGTAAAAAGATACAACACATAAATTCAAGATATAATTTTCATGACATGTCACCTCATTTAGACTTTCTTTTGACAATGACATGTCTTGACCATGAAATCTTTAGTAAAATGGTTGAGTTCTCTCCCTTGAATAAGGTTATTTTCTGTAATGATGAGCGTTTTTTTTTTATCTTTCTAAAGATAAAAAACAGAGCTTGCTAACTAACGGAAAGTAGGTTAAATAAACAACGATGAATTTCTATATCCATGAATAAACTCTTGTGCATGTGAATTATACATAACACTTTACTTTCAATATCAGTACAAGAACGCCACGAGTCTTTCTGCAGATCGTCAGTGCATGGTTTCGTTTTCGGTACTGCTAAAGACAAAGTACAGCCTTCTGGTTATGACAAAATAATATATTTTGAAGTAAATATAAATATATTACCCGCTCTAGTGTAACCCAGAATGCCACCAGCAGCTACTGTTACTGCGTAAGCAATGCTGACATAATCGACAGGCATCTTTGAACGTGTAGTTGTACTAGTTGGTCAGGAAGGTCTCGAACGTGTCGACTCACACTACCCAAATCAGGAAACAGTGTTGGGATAAAGGGCGATAACTCTATCACCTCCAAGATGGATGCGCCCAGGGAAGGCATGACGAGCGGGTTTCCAGTAAAAACTAAACAGGTATTACAGGCATAGATCGCATCCATTAGTGTTTTTTGTTTTTATTTGTTTGAGGCTCAGTCTGCCGTTTATTGATATTTGTTAAGACCACGGAAATGTACATCAAATATTTTATTTTTTTACTGGCGAAAAAAATAATTAAAGAGACCATTTAAATTGTGCATTAATTACTTTTGAAACAGTGTTATCGTTTAATATTTTTACAACAATAAAACAAATATGGTTTCATTACAGTCTACAATATCGTGTTAAAAAGAAGAGATACACAATTCAATCTTATGTTGAAACAGGGACATGTTATGTATCTACAGTATATATCTCAAGTCCTAGTTTATACGATGAATGACAATTTTACCGTTGATTTTGATATCCATTATAAAAAAGTATTATTGTTCCTACTAATAACAGTTAATATTACACGGTATCGTAATTTTCATTTTTATAGAAAGCTGTGATAGTGAACAAGCAGAAGACTGACATCCTATGTAGCCATTTTGCAGACAAACTATTTGTGATTGTCACACAGTTTAGCAAAGTAGGAAACTTGGTATGTACATACATTGTATTTAGGTGTTGTCAGTATAATTTGTACCACTTTTCATTAACCATTGAGTCAAAGCACTATTTTTTTTACAAATATTTATAAGCTAATAGATATAATAAATAAATACCAATAATTAATACCATGCTAGTGCTCAGATGATTACATGTGTTTTTGTACCTCAAATAAATGTGTTTAGAGGTGTAGAGCCAACGCTGTTCTTCTCGTAAAGATAGTGTATGTTCCGTTATCCCTTGCTTTTGATACCTCCAAGTATGCAGGTGATTGAGGAATAGTAAGAAATTAAAGGCAATAGTCAATTACAACAAGCTTAGTATGATGAATTTAATATCTTTATTACTTACATCTACCAGTTTTGCCCAGCCTAAACCTTGGCAGTTTGAAGAGTAATTTACCCAGCAAACAGTTACAATTTTAAGTGCGTATGCTGACTGTTGTAAACCCATATTTAACAGTTAGCTCCCTTATTGCAATAAAAAATTGAAAGGACCATCAACAAAATGTTTTTGTCTACTTTTGGTAGATTGAACTGACAAGAGATGTTGCTGTTGATGATGACTTTACCCCTACCAGACCTTCATATTCCACAAAGGTGCTGATGGGACGAGACGAAGTATGTACTCATAGTAGTTGTAATGTATAGACTCCTCTTCAGTTGGATTCATTGTACAAAAAATCACCACTGAAATTTTAACTTGTGATAGAATTAAACCATTGTAAATAGTGCCCACTGGTTCATTTCAAGTATGCCTACCAATCATTTACTGAGGATTATATTCATTAATAATCTTATATGAAATAGGCACTGCCTAAGAGCCAGAGTAATGTGATTGGTACCACCAGATGCAAATTTAGCTAAGTCTATGAGTCAGGAAAAGTTTTCTGTTTTCTTGAACTATAGACATCCATCGTTATGTCAATATTTGTCAATTGGATGCCACATTGAATGCCAAATACACATGGTAATGATCACAGGAGCTATCAATGGTAGCATAGTTTCCATAGTTTTGTATTTTAGTATGATTTTGTTATATTAGTTGTATCATATTATACCGTGTATTAGTATTTCCTGTGCTTTGAAGAGGAAACTAGATAAACAGGAAAGCAGATAAGCTTTGATTCTGATTGGCTGAAAGTGATTTTTTGGAAAAATCAGAATACGTTTTAAACCAATTGATAAGTTGGAAGTTCATCACCTATTCTACAGAATGTTCCAGCCATAGGCTAACTTCAGCTGATTAGGTTTTATATTTTTGTTACAGCCTTTGATGCATGTGCTGGCAAAGAATGTGCTTGGTAAGCTGGACATTAAGAAGCCTGTGTTGTTAGCTCTAGCTCTGAAGGATGAGTCCCCACAAACTGTAGCCTTACTTAGTGAGGAAATCAAAGGAATGATGTAGTCACAAAACCTAGGACTGAGTCATACTGAAAATGAACAAGGTCAGGGTTCTTCCATGTGAACGATCGAAGAAATGGTTTGATGAGACAAGGCTAGTATCCTATATGAGACAATGGCTGCCATTGTACTAATGATGTCGTCAGTTGTAAGGAGAGGTTGTCATGAAACCATGAATCAAGCCCTGGCTTCTTTTTCAAGATATTGATACCTTCCAGGTAAAAAAGAAACAAACATCATGCTAAGTAAATATAGACATTAATGCTGGTCATTAATGGTGAGGACGGCCATGGAAGCAGGTACATCTCAGATGAAATGTTCCTCTTGTCGACAGAAGTTCTTCAAATTATGCGAATGCGTTTGAGACTTTTAAGTTGTGCTGTTCTTTTAACTGAACAACACATTGTGTAGTTATGAAGAAGACTTCAGTTTGGAAATGTTCTGTCATTTTAGGTGATAAGAATTTGGATAACATATGTGAAATTAATGTTCATTTTTCTTATTTTTTTTTTATATTAAAAAAAGATCAAACAAGATTGAAACTTTCCTTTATTATACCCAAACATTGAAAAGAGGAAACGCACATTACTCAATCCGTAATCAATAAAAATATAGATAAACATTCTTTCACTGATTGATGACACTTAATTAAAAGAATATAGAAAGGCTAACTCAGACAATTCTGCTGCTGTATCAGGTGTGTATTCACACCATTCTGCTGCTGTATCAGGTGTGTATTCACACCATTCTGCTGCTGTATCAGGTGTGTATTCACACCATTCTGCTGCTGTATCAGGTGTGTATTAACACCATTCTGCTGCTGTATCAGGTGTGTATTAACGCCATTCTGCTGTATCAGGTGTGTATTCACACCATTCTGCCGTATCAGGTGTGTATTCACACCATTCTGCTGTATCAGGTGTGTATTAACACCATTCTGCTGCCGTATCCGGTGTGTATTCATTCTATTCTTCCACCCTTTAGTGATACCTAATTTTTTGAAAGAAAATAAATTTAGGTTGGCTACAGTGTATTTATTGTCTGCTATACAAAGTATCAGGATTTTGGTTGTTTATAAGAATTTTGAGGTTAAGGTGATGCTGGCAGAGAAGGATGAAAAATTACAATTTTATCAGTGAAGTTCTTAAAATTAATTTTTCAGTTGTGTACAAATATTTTTTTTGGAGTCAGGAGGTCAATGTCACCAAGACCTGTTTAGAAATAAGGTCTCTGCTCCAAAACTAGTCATCTGATGGCCAGAAGTTGTGCCTTTATCAGACTTTTTATATTTTATTGATGCTCCTTTGTTGTAAAAGCCATGTCAGACCTAAATTTGTTGATCAGTTTCAAGGAAAAGTATACACATATATATTATAATGACACCTACTCCCTGAAGTTGTGCATTGGCATATATTTTTTTTTATCCTACTCTTTTTTTCCAACAGATTTATCCCCCATTATTGAACACTACCCTCTTCAGTTGTCTTTTTTCTCTCTTTGTGTGTGTAACTCTTTGTCCTGGATTGTTATATACAATTTGACTGGACTTAAACTGCTGACATGGAAAGTAGTATAAAAGCCATTGATTGATAAGAATTTTGTCATCGTTAAGTAAAATGAATAAAAAAGATAAGAAAAAAAGTGCATGCAGTTTTGATGTGGATAATGAATACCCATTCATGAAAAAAAATGGCTGCATACAATCAGTTGTTATGGATAATTACTTGCTTGGTCTACCTTGGAAAACAATTCTAGTTTTCAGTGGGGTGCTTATGAAATATCCAGTAAAAATGAGCTTTTTCCAGCCTTAATATTCGTTATCTATAAGAAACACCAAGTCTGACATCTGATATTCTTGCACAAGATCGAAGAACTTCGAAGAAATTTACATCTGTACACCCATCATTGGATTTAATGAAGAAAATATGGGGACAAATAGGCAAGTGAAAAGTACACGACACAATGAGGATACTATGTATATCATTGCATTAATAGAAATTAATGAATTTCAGACTGTATAGACAGCTGAATTTGAAATATCAATATCGATTCATGGAAATTTTTGCATGCACATTGGTATGTTTTTTTTACTACAGTAGCTTTGAAAAAAAAAATCAGATTATACTAAGAACGACAACTCTTGTAGTCTTAACTCATCCTTTTAAGCAGGAGTTGTCTTTCTTGTATCGTATATGTTTTTTGAGGGTGAGTAGGAAGCATAAGAGGGTGCAATACCCAATGTAGTTTCACAAGAAGGGTAAGAGAGTTTGCTTGTTTTTTTCACATTTCGTTAGACAATCTTATGAAGTTATATAAACTCCAAGTTTGCTTCCTCTCACTACCACAGCGTCTAGGTAGGTAGTGTGAAACTGTCGATTAATTACGTAAAAATTGATGAAGCTCTGCATGTAAGTTGGAAAATTCATGCTAGATGCCCATTGTTACATTATCTTGTTTTATTTCTAATCAACAGATACCATCTTTTTCCAACGCAGTACAACATTGATATGTCTAGGGCTGTTTTTAAAGTCTATTATTTTTATGCAAAATACGTCGAGATCAGTTTTGATACACCTCAAAAAATGATCGTTATGTTTTCAGTGACACTGCAACATGGCACTTTCATGATTGTGACATGATGTTGTGAAATTTCTCAGATGTCGACCTTCCCAGCGGAATAAAATTATCTTATCAACTGCATGCTTATTGGGTGCAGTGGATAGAGTTGTGTATGGAGGCAGACGTGTAATTAGGCGCGGTTAAGTACTAGCAAACTGAAAGTATCATGCACACAAATTACTGTTTACTGCAAGTGATATGTTTTATGTCCATTCCTTTGTGTTTACTAAGCACATTTGTCGCTGTAGAGTCTGGAAGTTTAATACAAAGAGACGAAACACATCTTCCTAATAACATCTGCAGTGTTATATTTATTTTAAAACGTTTTCTACATTTGTGAAGGAAGGTGTATATAAATGAACAGAAATATCAAAGTTAATTCTACAAGATTTCTCGAATCCTTTTAAAAGAAAATCTTGAATTGACGTTGAACATACATAAAGCTGAACATGCTGGCTTGTGAACCTGATAGACATGGGTGAGGTGTCAGGAGGTGTATCTGTTTGGTATGACACATACTTATCTGGGATATAATCACAGCCTTGAGAAGACAGCTTTTGTACAATGAAATACTTGCACTGAATAATTTAAGAGTTTTACTTCAGAAAATGCATTTCTTCTAATTTCACCAAGAATACAAGTGAAGGGTTCTTTTTAAATTTGCACATTAAAATGCGGTGTTTGTTAGCGATATGTTGTGGTTTTATTAGCTAGCATTCCTTTGTTAATAGTTATGTGGTTTACTGAAGCGTCTTAAAGTTTGCTATCTTACCCCTCCCCGGGTCCCTAAGGGTTACCTCCAGGGGCGGGACAGCCTGCAGAGTAACATTGTCCTCTGAAACGTGATCTCCCTGTGTCTGTCCCGGTGGGGAACCGATATTAACCCTAATGGGTCTGAACTCGATTTGTGTTTTATAGAATTGTAATATGGATACAAAAGAACTCTGACATAATCGTCTTATTTTATTAAAATATCATCCTTAGTGGTCCATACTTTAGAATCATTGTTTTATTACATAATTATACGTTATATCCCATGTGTATATTTTATCGTCTAGGAGAGGTAATCGACCAACGTTGTACGCGGACAGTATTTAGCAGTACTGCAAAGTTCCATGATTTATTGTCTATTGAATGTTATTGTCGTTTACTGATAGGCTTCACAATGGCTTTATTATAATCTTGAACAGCTGATGTGAGCTCATTAATCAATGGACAGTAATTAAAGACCTAATACATTAAGGTGATTAATTACTCTCACTCGCTTTCTTACATTATTATGAGAACTAGTGTTATATATTTTCAGTATCAAAACTTTGAATAGATTAACCTTGACAAATGTGGCAAGGTTAGTATGTTCTGTGTGTTGATATCGCTGACGCATTCTAATTAATATCTTTCATTTTTTTATTCTACAAATTATAACCCTTTCAAAGAAAAGAAAGTGGGTTTAGTTCGCATGCACTCATTTTAAACTAAGACGACCTGGTTTTGGCGCTCATATCATTTAACGAACAGTTAATTTGTTTCAGTATACGTTTTTTTTTTTACAAATTTATCAAAATAGTGGCATTGTTATTTACTCCAGCATATTGAATACTAACTATCAAGACTTTTTGCCTTGTCTTCCCGTGTACCTTGAAGACCATTAATAAACGTCAGCCAAAGGTCGAGGTGATAATCTGAGCTAATTTTTCTGTTGATGTTATAACTGCCATTTTCACTGGTTACCGTACAAGAGTTTGACCTATGTTCTTGCCATCACAGCTTAGGAAATCGTGAGCAGTTCACGCCCTCAAAATAAGAACTTGGTAAATCATGTAACAACGGAACCAACAGGCACACTAACGAAAGAAACATTTTGGACTTTTCTCTTCCGCATCCTTAAATTTTTGGCCTAAAGCACTGACGAGTACAAAACAAAATATCTGTAAGATGTAGTTCAATAAATTATTTAACATTGCTAGATTTTAGATAAATAATGCAAAGTGCTATTTATATTGTGTCTTTTGTACAATCCTTCGAAATTGCAGGGAGTGACTCTCCTGGTGAACTTTTGCCGTATCTCAAATGCCACGGTTTGATTAATACAGATTGCACTTGGCGTTGTGTCGAAGGAGATATTGCGTTTTCTAATGTATATTTTGATATCGATTTGGGCCAATTGTGATTTCCCCCTGTAGTTTCCCTACATATTATACCAATAAATACCACACGAATCCTAGAAGGAAACATCTGCTGTATTATGCAAGTTAATGCAACGCTCTTTCTTATTCTTAATTAATATTAAGCTGGTGTTCTTATTTTGGAACATTTTCTTTAGGTTGGAAATGTCAATAGAATAGAAGTTCTTATAACACAACCAGTAGAAGATTAGAATGCAATGTTTCGATGACCCTACGGTCACCGACATCAGACAAATGACCAGTATGAGCGTGCTAGCACTGACGTACGTAGTGTACAAGATGGTAAGGAATCGACCAACTTTTTCCGGCTATACTATAATCCTTTGTCGAAAAAAGTGCGACAAGATGGTGACAATGTACAGTAGTCAATTCAAGAAATACGCCTCTGTAGTATACATGGTATGGTCGTTCGCTTCTTGGAAAAGAAAACTCACAAAAAAACAGAATGAAGACATTCCTACAGTTTGGGATGGGCTGTTCAGAGAGAAATATAAAATGTTATTGTAGAATACACGTTCATCAGGGGTGTTCATGATGTCACATAGTATTTCATCTTTCGAGAAAATGGCGGAAATTTGGCTGAGGTATCAGACATGGATTCTTATTTGTATTTCAACTTTCTACGGAATTAACACCGCACCTTGATTAAATGCTCTTGTAGTTTTAGGCTGTTGATAATATTTGGAGCACCAGTAATGTATTTTTTGTTCTGGAACGAGAACATTTACAGT